CAGTCTTCTGTTTTCCTGTGAAATACAATGAAAAGTTAATAAATGGCTATTCTGTAGAGTTGCACTCTACTTCTTTACTGGTGACAGTAGTTCTCTTTGCTCACATCTACATGCATACTTTGATCAAACTCAAAAATAAAAAACAATAAACAGCTGGTATGTAGATGGAATGGTATAATTGGATAATTAGTTGGGATAAGCAGAGATGAAGTCAAAGTTTGATTGATTGAATGCTTGTACCTTTGACCCTGTAACTGAGATATTTGTTTCCTCAAGCTTTCTTTTGCCAATGCTTCCTTAGATAAGGTATCCTTAAACTCTTTGTGCTGGGTCCTCAGGTTTTGCACTTCTGACTTCAGATAAGCGATTGTCGTTTCCTTCTCTTCTTTTAAAGATCTCATATTGGTAAGTTCATGATGTGTTTTCTCTGCTTCCTGCTTTGCGGAAGCAAATCTTTTCTCCAAATTATCCTTTTCAACATTCAAACACTGGATCCGCATCTCATTTTCAGCAATTAGTTTGTTCATTTGTTTCAAATCTCCTCTCAATTTCTCTTCCTCCTGTTTTGTGGAGTTAGAATTCTCTTCTGTGAGCCTTTCTATCTCAGCTTTGAGCATTTGCATTTTCATTGAGAGAGCTTCATGTTCTTCCTCCTCATGCTTTTTTGCATGTTCAAGGAGCTGGGATTTATTGTCTAGTTCCAATGATATCTGCTCTATATGTTTTGCTTTCACATCAATCTGGTTGACAAGATCTTGCAATCTTACTTCATTCTGGTCCTTAATCAGCTCTAACTCTTCATTGGCTTCCTGGAGCATCTCTTCCAGAATTCTGTTCTGCTGACGCAGTTCATTAGCTTCTGCCAGTGCTTTTGTGGCCTGCTTCTCATTTTCATCAACCTTAGATGTCATTTCCACAGAAAGCCTTCTAAACTCCTCTTGAAGACGCTCAGCTGTAACAGAATTATTCCACCTTGTCTTTTTCAATGTTTCCTCTGCTTGGATGGCCCTCTGTTCTTGCTCAACCTTGGCACATGTCACAGCCTCCAGTTTCTCTTCAAACCCCTTGGCCTGTGTCTCCAGTTCTATCTCCAAAGACTTAACCTCACTTTCAAGTTCCTGAATGGAGATCAAACATTCTGCAAATTCATGTGCTTGCTTCTCAATTGTTTCTTCTGATCTCTCCAACTGAGATTCAAGCTCTTTTATAGTAGCTATATAGCCTGCCCGCTCATTTTCCATCTCTGTTCGTAGTCTTTCTTGGTTACGATCTAACTTCAAAGAGATGCCATAGTTGTCCTGCTTTAAAAGGTCATGGTCCAAGGTGAGCTGTTTTATATGCGCATCTTGCTCTTCCCTCTTCTTCTCGTGGGTGTCTATTTCACTAAGAAGTTCTCTGATCTTAAGCTTCAAGGATTCTACTTCCTGGACATCACTGTGCTTCTTAGTCAGTTTCTCTGCAGATTTTTGGTTTTCATCCTCAAACATTTTACCCATCACTTTGGAATTCTTTTCAGTTTCTAACTTGCTTGAAAGATCAGATACTTCCCTTTTTTTCTTCTCCAACGCGTCTTCAAGATCCTTCAACACTAGGACCAACTCAGAATTTGAATCTCGTGTCTTCTGCAGTTGCAAGTGAAGATTGGTTCTAACTTTCTTTTCAAAATTAAGCTCTTGCTTCATTGCTTCTAACTGATCTCTTGTATCCTTGGTCTCGGGCTGCAACTTTTTGAAAGCCTGTTCCCCATCGCTACGTCCCTGCGAGGACTTCAGTTGTTCGCATTCTATTCTGAGTGCATCTCTCTCCTCTTTAAGGCTAATAACTTGTCTTGAGAGATTCTGTCCTTGTTTACTCTCTTTGGCCATCTGTTTCCGAAGAGACTGTAACTCCAGTTCTGATAGGTCTGCCTGCCTCATAAGAATAGCAATTTCATTTCTGAGTTTTTCAATGGAATCATCTGAACCCGTTTGCACCCTTTCGGTTGGAAGCTTGTCTTCAACACTATTTGGTGAATCAAATAAACTTCCATCTGATGACCAATCCAAGCTTGATTTTTGACGCATATGGTTTTTTCTTGCGGTGGCACCGTTGTTTCCGTTTTGAGGCATGGAGTTTTGTTCAAGGGGTGACAGGGAGCTGGCAGCATCCTGATGGCCATTAGTGGTTTTGTCACAGGCTCCATTCTGTTCGACAACATGAAATACATCTGTGTTAAGTTCATTTTAATAATTTCATCCCGTCTGAACTGCGTTAAAAGAAAATGCTAGAAAATACCGTACTTCCGTAAAACTGAGGTGGTTGCCTCCATCTGTATCCCAATTGCTGTTCTGGTTGTCCATGCTGCTATGGCGTGAAAGAGTCGGATCATCATCTTCTTCAATTTCCCTGAGATTAGATAAATTTTATTAATAACTAGCAGAAGGGGAAAGCAAAAGAAAATTAAAATACATAAAAGTTAGAGAAGGAAAAAATGATGTGTTAGTGTTAATTGTCACCTTTGATCACCATCTTCCTGAATCCTGTGAATTGTTACCTGTCTCAATAATTTTCGTAAGTATTAGGTTTTTTTTTTTGTTGAAGTCAATGACATTGAAGTTTTGTTTTGTTCTGAGAATAGACAGAACTAGTTGTGTTAAATCATGAGAATTTCTCTCGTGCGTGTGTGTGTTTCAGAGTGAGAGAAAGAGAGAGGGACTGACATGTAAAACTACACCAGAGTTTGCAAATTTAAGGGGCAGAATGACTGTTAGGGGTTCAGTTTCTGCCACAATATCTGCAAAATCAATTGAAGCTTCTCCAAGATAACCAGCTTTTGATGAGCCCTGCAATAACCCATTAGAATTAGAAAATACCAAAAGAAGCCCAGAAACAAGAAGGCAAAGTGAGAAAAAGAAAAACTCTCAAAACAATATATTATTCCGTACGGTTGAAACAATGAAGTGATAAATCTTCTCTTTCAGTTTTCCCGTTTTTGATTCCTCAATGAGTTTCACTGATTCATAAACTGGATTCTCCCAAATACAGGTTCCATCCTGAACTGCAGCTTTTCCTAGTTTCACCGTGGGCTTTCCGACGTCGTCCGGCACCAAAGACAACATCAAAGCAGGCTTTTTCAATTTCGGCACCTGAGATGAAAATGGTCAGGAAGAAACCAGGTATGATCAACCTTGTCTCTGTAGATCACATTTGAGATGAACTCGTTTGAATACAAAAAATTGAAACTTCCAACCCATTGAGAACAAGTAGTAGCAGGAAAGAAGATGGTTTAGTTTATGTGTGTCGAAAATCATACCTGCGTTGCCTGAAACTGCAGTTGGAATATAGCTTTTATCTTCTTCTTCTTGCTCCATGACTTGAACATGTTTTTCAGTCTTCTTGAGTCTTGTTGAGTTTTCAGATCTCAGAAATCCAAGTCACTGTCTTCCTCTAAGAGACTAAGACTTTAGCAAACAATGCCTGCTTTTCTGAGCTTATTCACCGAAAGGATTAGGTTGCTATGGTTAGAAGAAGTCCAAGTAAGGTATTTTTCTTTGAAAATAACAAATGAATATTCTGGAAATGCAACTAAAATGCCGTCTAGCTGTTAAACCTCATATCTAGCTGTAAGTACTAGATACTTCGTAGACTTTGAAGAAGAAGACTCAGGGCAGGGCAGCAAAAGATACAAATAAAAAAATGTAATTGCAGAAACAAAATAAGAAGCTTCGCTGTAATGGATTTAATGCAATCGTTATATGCTTCAAGAAGGATATCTAAATCGCATTACAGTTTACTTTCCGCTTTTAAAAAGGTTAATAATGCGTCCTAGAGTTTAAATGACGGAAATTACCCCTCCTCTTTTTTGGTATGTAAAACGGCACTGCTTTTTAATTTTAGATCTTGATTAGATGGCCTTCTTTTCTTTCCGGGCTCGAAATCCAATATACGGGTTAGGTCAGTTGATTAAGACAATATATTCGCCTTTTTATACTTGAGTTCGAACCTCCTCTCCCTGTACATTATTAAACTTATATAAAATATCGTTATTGTGAAAAGAAAAATTAATAGTGAAAACTTGACTTGACGAGCGTTTGAAGGTGTAATAGGCCACTCAAAAAGTGATATGAGGACAACCAGAGTTTGATAGGTCACCCTGGAAGCATTGATTAAGAAAATGGTCCTGCCATGAGAAAAACAATCTCATCATCATATGGCCCGCCCAGTCTGGAAAAGATGAATAAAAAGTTGCTACATTTATGTGAGTGCCTGCCTGCCTTGTCGGTTGTCCAAGACTAAGCTAAATTCCTCAATTAATAAGAAAATAATTGAGGAAGCACATGGCAAGGTTGGAGCCTTGGTTCAACGTCAACACGTGCCCTGCTCTGTGCTCCACGTGATCGTATTTATCTTCTTTCCCTTATTTTCTTATAAATTCGGAAAATGAAATTTCTTATTTTTGCCGAGTATGAAATTTCTTGGTATGGAAAACAGGACAGTACTCAGGATTCAGGAGCAGACAGTTTTGTCATAAACATTTAAATGACATTCTGGCTGGCTGGGCTGGGCATATGAATGGCATCCTGGATGTCTGTGTCTGTTCCCGAATCACTACTTCACCAATAAATTGCTTAGGATTTGAACTCAAAAACGACGTAGCATAGCATGTATGTATAATAATATGAGTGGGCATGCTAGATGACTTGCTCTTCTCCTCGTAGTTTAGTCAGCCAATTAAGGATTGCAGACGATTAACTAGAAAACGACGTAGTTTGTTTTCTGTTTGAGCCCAGCATCCAATTCAGTCGGGCCTCGTCATGCTTGGGCTGAATTTGGGCTTTTAATCAGGACTTTCATTGGATCATGATGGGTCCCTTCTTAATCAGGGTATGAATATGATGTCACCAATGACTTCAACTACCAAGTGATTGAATTACCCTAATGGTTAGTGGTGGTGGGTAGATGTTTGCAGAAATAGAGAAACCCCTTACCCTGAGAGAGGCAGGGAGAAATAATATAATAGAAGACTAAAGAAAGGAAAACGACACAAAATATAACACCTAGTCAAAAAAGCCTCCTATGGACAAGGGCCCCGTGGCATCCATCACAGATTGTTTCAAGATCTCGATCCGACGGTCCAAATTGGCTCGCCATAAACAGGTGGAAAGTTTGAGAATACAAGACCAAGAAAAAGAGATGAAATCATAAAAGGGGTTTTCCATGTATATATATATTGACTTGATTTCAGGAGATAATTAATTAAGAAGAAGAGAAGAGGGAAGAAGAAAAGGAAAGAGATGGCGTTAAGGGTACCAGCAATTCCATTCACGTTTATTGCACACACGCTTGGAATCGCAGCTTTGGTTCTGGTTTTGGTTTGGAACATACACTTCAGAGGTGGTTTCGCATGGGAAGCTACAAACAAGAACCTCATCTTCAACGTAAGTCTCTCTCTCTCTCTCTCTCTCTCTCTCTCTTTCTGGGTTCTTTTAGGTTTATTATGCATAACTTTTCTTTTCATTTTTGTATAGTAGAGTAGATTGTCTTTGCATGAATTAGATGTTTGTTTGTTCTTGATTGATCGATCGATGTAAATTTGGTTTTGGCCATGGCAATCGAAGCTTGTCTATATATGCCTTTGATTCTTCTTCTTGATGATATGGTATTGGATACCACTCTTTTTTTAAATGTTGTTTTCTGACGACCGTTATTGGCGCTGGTGACTAAGACTTTTAAGCAAATGGTGCCTTATTTTTATCTTCTTTTGGGTGAGTGTGTAGATTATTGACTAAAGTTGAGAATTAAGAAACACTAATTAATAATAAATCACTTAATCAATTTGAAGAGCAAGAAAAGTAGTCGTTTTTTATGGTAGGTGAAAGTGATGATGCATGGCACCTACCATTCTAAGTCTAACACACCTACCCCTGTAATTTGAATATCAGAAAAGTAGTCGTTTTTTATGGTAGGTGAAAGTGATGATGCATGGCACCTACCATTCTAAGTCTAACACACCTACCCCTGTAATTTGAATATCATCATTTATTTTGGTTTGGTGAATAAGTAGTTATTTTTATAGGGGGTTTTAGCGTAAATAAGTGGAACACGTATGGCGGCTAGCTACCATAACCATATAATGCATGGGTGCCTGGAGGGAGAGTTGTCCAACTTTGGAGAGGTGCCTGAAGTCTGTCTGTATCTGCCTACTTGGACACCTTCGTCTCTTGTGTGATGCTAAGTGAACGATCATCATTTATCCACATCAGCTGATGATGATATTCTTAAACAAATTACCAACAAAAGATAATAAATATATTCTTAAATCATTTTTCTCATCGTTTCTTTCTAGCACCTTCGTCTCTTGATTGGATTGGATTAGTATAGAATTGAGTTTATTTATCCTCTCCAGATAATAGATATATAATATAGCTGGCACTTGGCAGCCTGGCAACACTCGAGTATTCAAATCTTTCACAGTGGCCCCGCCTTCGATTCCTTTCCTAGGTCAATTTATTCAATCACTATACGACTGTCGTTCTCTTCTGGACTTTTTTTTACTTTTCCTAAATATTTTTATTTCTTTTGGGTCTGAAACTGAAAAGAAGAAAAGACTTAATTATAAAAATCCCGAAAAAGTCCAAGCGGCCCATAATGAAATTAACAAGGTATTTGTACTTGTACAAATAAGTGAAAACAATGGCCCAATAGATGGCTACCTGCTTTTATTCTTTTGAAATTCATAATAATCTTTGTATTTGTACAGCTCCATCCTTTGCTGATGTTACTTGGTTTAATTCTCTTGGGAGGAGAAGGTAATTAAAAAGTTTCATCCCTCTTGCAATCTTAATTACTGAGTTTTGCACTTGGTCTGATGTTGATCCCAAAACCAAAAATTGCAGCCATTATTAGTTACAAATCACTTCCTTTGAAGAAACAGGTGAAGAAACTTATACACCTGGTTCTTCATGCTCTCGCATTAGCCCTGGGTATTATTGGTATTTATGCTGCATTCAAGAACCATAATGAGAGTGGGATTGCCAACCTCTACAGCTTGCACTCCTGGATTGGGATTGGGGTCATTGTTCTCTATGGCATTCAGGTATAAATCCTCAATCCCATTTTGCATAACCTAACCACTAAAAACTCAAAACTTATTTCCCAACATAGTGGTTGTTAACCGTTGATATATGTGGATCATAGTGAAGCATGCACGTATATATCAATAGTTGACAACCACCCACACAGTCGATCAAACATGACAATTGTAGTTCAAATTTTCCGTGAACCTAATTATTTGTATAATTTTGATGGGCAGTGGATATATGGGTTCTTGACTTTCTTCTACCCTGGAGGAAGTCCTACCCTAAGGAGTGAGACTATGCCATGGCATGTGGTATTTGGGCTCCTTGTGTACGTTTTGGCTGTGGCCAATGCTTCACTAGGGTTCTTAGAGAAGCTCACATTCCTTGAGAACTCAGGAGTGGCCAAATTTGGCTCTGAGGCCTTTCTTGTCAACTTCACTGCTCTCACCACAATATTATTTGGAGCCTTCGTTGTAATTTCAGTTCTTTCTGAAGCTCCTGCTCCCATTGAAGATGACCACAGCTATTCATCTATATGATTATATAACAATATTGTTAAATAGTGTACTTGGCTGTAAGTGCAAGGACTGAAGCGTGGGTATCTATTATTTATGATTTACGTGTAGCCTATACATGAACATGATAAAACATTTGTGACCACTTATTCATAATTATTGGCATGCCCATCTTAATTATTTTACTTTTATTTCATTGCAAGCTTCTTACTACGCTTGTGCGTGCGTGTGTGCGTGAGAGAGATTATAAGATTTCGAGAATCATAAAAATTGCATGTTCAATTTTATTGTTTGATAAGAATTAGATCATGCTGCTCGTGATACAACGTAATTATGTTGTGGTGTAAATGAGAGCAACAGGTTTTAATTTGTTGGTTTTGATTTTGGGAGACCAAAGATTATATATTGGTGTCATTGCAAGATTGCTCGCCACTCAGACACTCGAGCAAGAAGACAACTGCAAATTGCTCAAGTGATTTGGTAGAGTAGGTGGAATCTTAACCACTTGTGTACTCATCAATCAAGAGAATCCGAATGGCTCAAGGTAATTTTCCTTAAATTTGTTTCATGTTCTAAGATTCTACGCTAGCGCTATATAGACTGATTCAAAATTCATGGTTTATTCCTTCCTCTGTCAGAGCTTAAAGATATACAGAAGGAAGTCATTCAGTCTCGTGTAAAGACATGGGAGACCAAACAAAAAGCAAAAGTTGATAACAAGTAAGCAGAAGCATTAGCAATAGCAATCTTGGAAAAAGCCTTTAGAAATGAATTATACTAATCATGAGATAAAATTATGTATTGATGAACAGGGCTGACAAAATGATAGCCATCAACGAGGAGAAAAAGAACGCAAGTGAAATAGACCTGGAGGCCTTGGGGAAGAAGATTGAGGTCGTTGCATGGCTGCACTTTTATTTGTTTATCAAATTATTAATCTAATATTAACATTTAATTAATTTATATATGCATGATGGAGCAGACAAAAGTTGAGAAGCTAAGACATAAGGAACTGGAAAAAATGAAGAACAAAGAAGCTCACTCGATCAAGGTCACAGAAGACACCAAGGTCAAAATTGAAGCAAAACGCACCCATGGACTTCAGAAAGTTGAAAAGAAGGCTGAAAAATTTCGTGGCAGCAATTCTTTGCCAACCAAGTGTTTTGGTGTTTGTGTAGACGAGTGAAAATCCCCCCACAGCACACCACACTACACGCAATCAAATTTTCGTGTAATAAATAAATCAATAGTATCATAATTATAATAAAATTAGCTAATAAAGTAATTAACTGTGACATTTTTTTAAAGATGATATAAATGACTTAAGTGGATTTTATATTTTCCATCGTTTTGTCCAGAAACTGAATACAACCAATGAGAGACAGCACACACATTCGACCAAAAACAAAAGAGAGACAGCACACGACTACGACATATATAGTAATATCTACATTCTGTTTGAGGTCGGACACGTGTTCAATATGGACATAGACACATCCGCAGTTGCGCAGCAAAGGGGTCCACAACGTGGCACTGTGGCAGTTGGTGCTTTAACGTTTTCCAACTGCAGACAACACTTTGCTTTCTTGTTTGCCCAGTTGTATTTGGACCTCCAAATTTCGGTGGTAAGCCTTGCCACCTCAAAAACTATCAACAAAGTCTCAAAGAATTTTTTCATACAAAAGATGTTGATGTGTGAAGGAATTACTCCTAGGCTCCTTCGGTTTTTGACATCTCGAACTCTTAAATAATTATGTATTTAATATACTTGTATTCTCTTTTTCGTTTTTCTTCTAAATTTGACGGTTTTAATTCCAATCATGATCTATAGTACGTACATGAACATGAGCAATCATTTGAGCTATAACTCTTTACACAAATCTCAATAGGTTTTTCTTCTTCCAAAGGATCTTTAATTAATTAATTTTGTAGTTGTCAAATTCTTGCGAGGGTTAATAATACAGACACAAACACATATGTCAAGCCTCAATGCAAATCAATCCACACAAAAAAAAAAGAGGCAAATCAAACGATGGTGCAGGTGATGGCTTATTAGGTTTAAATTCTTATCATTTTCAATACAACTGTATGTATAGCCATGCATGCATGTGGCCTGGGCCAAGCTCTGTGGTCCTTTTGGGATCAATTCAATCCTCACAGAGCTGAAGTGGGAACAAAAAGATTTTCTTTCTCTTTCTATATTTCTTTTTGACTTGGCTCTTTGAATCAAGATTGAGAAACATTCTAAATGCAATAAATTACACAAAAAGATAGAATGATAATCAATTTTATATAAATCATTTCAGAATATTTCTTCTGTTATTATCTTTTTAATAAAGGAAACAAAATGAAGAGAGAGAGAGAGAGAGAGAGAGAGAGAGAGAGAGAGAGAGAGAGAGAGAGAGAGAGAGAGAGAGAGAGAGAGAGAGAGAGAGAGAGAGAGAGAGAGAGAGAGAGAGAGAGAGAGAGAGAGAGAGAGAGAGAGAGAGAGAGAGAGAGAGAGAGAGAGAGAGAGAGAGAGAGAGAGAGAGAGAGAGAGAGAGAGAGAGAGAGAGAGAGAGAGAGAGAGAGAGAGAGAGAGAGAGAGAGAGAGAGAGAGAGAGAGAGAGAGAGAGAGAGAGAGAGAGAGAGAGAGAGAGAGAGAGAGAGAGAGAGAGAGAGAGAGAGAGAGAGAGAGAGAGAGAGAGAGAGAGAGAGAGAGAGAGAGAGAGAGAGAGAGAGAGAGAGAGAGAGAGAGAGAGAGAGAGAGAGAGAGAGAGAGAGAGAGCAGTTGCAACTTGCAATGTTTGGCGTTTTGAGGGGGTGGATGGAAAAGTAGATGGATAAAGAAGGGTGGCAAGTCACTTTACAGTGTGGCCTACAAAGATTCCTTCGCCAATGCGAAAATCATAGAATCTTGACGAGAGCTGATGAGCTCCTGCTCTGTTATTCTTGATCGTACAAAATATCTATTTTTGGAAATAAATAAATAAATACAGATCACTTCAGTCCAAAAAGAAATTCCGAATAATTCTTTCATCATTCAATGTTGTTAATTTGTCTCTTATATGGAACCAAAACATTCGTTTACCTTTTCTAAAATGAAAACATTAGCTCACCCCTAATTACCAACACAAAGCCAACCTAACATTACCACTCTCTCTCTCTCTGTGAAAATCTGGAAACTCATAAACTGTCCAATTCAAACGGTAAAAAATATTCCCTCATAATTAGATTCTTCTTCTTTTGGCCTAATTCTGTATCAAAAATATTAATTTACTCAATTAAGAGTCACTAAAAGTTAAAGATAATATGCAATTTTTACTAGGTTTACTTTCTTTCTTTTTTGGATAATCAAAAGCTATTAAGTTACTTTATAAAAGAGAAAAACACATGTGTTTATTTTCACACGATACAATCGTCACTATTCCCCCAAATTATTATCACACCCTATGATGGTATGCGAAACATTTTACTTTTATCTATTAATAGAGACTTACGATATATAGTATTCGAACTTAGAATCTATTCTAACATTTAGAACAATAGTATGCACTTTAGAAATAACAATTTTGATTTTGGCGATGACAGACACTACCTTGTTAAACAATTAACACGCTGGTGCATAGAGAGAACCGCAGGAGGACCATAACAATGCTAATGCGAGACTGAACAACAATGGAGCTCTCCTTGATAATAACCCTTTCTTATTATAATAACAAAAGTTAATGCGTTTTTTCTTCTTTCTTTTAATTAATCACTTTGATTAAATTTGTCAGACTCTGTGTTTCTTACTCAAAAAGTATTGACAACTCAGAAGAGGCCACATGTACCTAGCATCCAGCTCATGAGCTAATTAGGTTTTTTTAAGTAACAGTTACCTTCCTCCAACTATACCACCTATACAATCTCAACCATATCTCTCTCTGTTGCTTGTATAATCTTCTTTCTTAGTACATACACAGTGAACCTGCTTTTGAAAGCTTCGAGTTTCTTCCATTTGCCAACAAAAAAAAAAAAAAAACCTTTTAGTAACAAAACAATAATATGGCAGAGACAGAGGAACCCAAGAAGTTAGAATCCGAATCACTCTCGGATCCTCCACCGGCTCCGGCTCCGGCCCCGGCAGAGGAAGAGAAGCCGGTTGTGGAAGCTCCAAAAGATCCTCAGCCAACTAAGGACAAATCTGAAACTCCACCACCCCCTGCTCCTGAACACAAGGCTGAGGCTGATCAGTCCAAAGTTCTTGCTATTGTTGAGAGTATATTTCTCCAAATCCCCCTCACTTTATTGTATTTTCTTTATTGTTAAAGTTTGTAACTTTATCTGCTTGGTTGGTGAGAAAAGCAAATCTCACTCTGATCACTTCTTTTATTTTCACCCCATCATGAATCTGATTTTCTTATTCTTTGATGACTTGGGATTGCTTGTCTGGCATATATGTTCTGTTTCTAATTCTTGAGATTTTTTGTTTTACTTTTTAATAAAAAAGATTGGTCTTTTAATGTTATTTTCCGCATGGTTTTTTTACCAATAATTATTTCCTTCTGTCCTCTTTTGGTCCCCGCTTGCTTTCTCTTATTGTTTTGAATTTCGTTTCCTTTTCCCTGTATTTTTGGAGTAGATATTGTTTTCTTTATCAAATTATATTTCATAGTCTTCTTCTTTTTGTTAGAAATTATATGTCAGTGTCAGGATTTAAAGTTCTGTTAGACACATCAGAATTTGAACTCCGAAAGTTCTTCCATTATATGGCCCAAATTACCATTGCTTTTGCTTGCTATATAATATCCTTGGCATCTCAAATTTGAAAGAAGCATTTATTTTTCTCCTCCCATAGAGCCTTCTGAACCTGCTGCCGAAGAGAAAAGTAAGGAGGGTTCAGTCAATCGAGGTGAGAGTTGTTTCATCCCGAGCTTCTTAATTTCAATCCTGCTTGTTGATGTAGGTTTAACTTTCTCCTATCTTCTTCAGATGCTGTGCTTGCAAGAGTTGCAACAGAGAAAAGGCTGTCACTTATCAGAGCATGGGAAGAAAGTGAAAAATCAAAGGCAGAGAATAAGTAAGGACTTTTCCTGAATACTGAGTTTAATTCAGTGAGCATCATATTATGCAAAAGTTTATGGAAGCTCTGGTATTGCTATCTGTAAACCAATGGAATCATTTCATTCTAACGAAATGATTAGATTTTCCATTTCCACCAAGTCTGTTTGATATAATTTGATATACTGAAGTGAATGTATTTTGTGTTGGAAAACAGAGCTCATAAAAAGCTATCTGCCGTTGGTTCATGGGAGAACACCAAGAAGGCAACTGTGGAGGCTGAGTTGAAAAAGATTGAGGTAACAATTCATTCGTTTCCTCGAGTGAGATAACATCAAATCCAGTACTTGAATTCCAATAAGAAAGAGAGCAATTTGTGCATGAGCAGGAAAAATTGGAGAAGAAAAAGGCAGAGTATGTGGAACAGATGAAAAACAAGATAGCTTTAATCCACAAGGCTGCAGAAGAAAAGAGGGCAGCGATCGAAGCTAAGCGCGGGGAAGATCTTCTAAAGGCGGAGGAAACAGCTGCAAAATACCGTGCCACAGGAAATACTCCTAAGAAACTCCTTCGTTGTTTTTCAGGCTAAAATAAATTCAGGTCCGGTTGACAACATTTGAATTATTTGTATATTCTGTTGGCTTGGAGGTACATTTTGTTGATTCAGATGTGTTTATTTCTTCTTCTTGAAATGGGGCATTGGCCAATGTTAGTTATTGTGTGTGTCTTGATAAAGTATGTGTGTATACATACTACATACACTTGATATGCAGAAAAAATCAACTTAACTTATTTGTCACAAACATTTTCTTTTTCCTCTTTTAGATTAATATTTCATTAATTAGACGATCATGATGAATGCTAGTAATGTAAATTATACGAGTGTGTAAACAAATTTATTTTGTTTAAATGCGAAATCTTTATGACCGTTATATTTTCCTTGGAATGAAAGGGAAGAAGAAGAAGACATTGCTTGCCTTTGTATGTGGAGTTAATAGTTAGCTTGTTTCCACAGAAATCCATGGCTTCCTTTGCACACCCGTGACCTAAGGAATAACTTCATCTACAAGTTACCTTCATTTAGCTTCCTTCCCCTTTCATCCCTATAAATACAACATCTTAAACTCGTTCATATATGTAGCGGATATGGTAAAGCTTACAATTGTTGGAAGGTTAAGTGATGGTCTGTGTCTTGCAAAAGGACCTTCTTCTTTGAATGAAGAACATGAAAACTTTTCATTTTACAAGAGACAAGGAGAGTTCATACTCAGAGAAATCTCAAGAGGAGCATTGCCTCCTTCCAAGATGACCATTCGCGCCGATCATCACTGCTTTAAGTATCCTCTTTTTTCTCTCTCTGTTTTTCCTTTTTCTTTTAATTTTATCCCAAAATCAAGGTAACAAAAACTGAAAATGCTCAAATAAATCTAAACCATCATAAAACAGGGGACGGTATTCACATGTGTGTGTGTTTTTTTTTGTTTTTTTTAAAAACCTAATCCTTTTAAAATGAAGCTACATGGTCGAGAATGGAATTGCCTTCATCACACTCTGCGACTCTTCATATCCAAGAAAACTAGCTTTCCATTATCTACAAGATTTGCAAAAGGAATTTGAAAACTTCGATAGTAGTCTCATTAAGAAAGTCACGAGACCATACTGCTTTATCAAATTCGGTAATTTTCTTCAGCTAATAGTACGATTTGACATCGATTTGGCTCTTATCATAAGGTTTAGCACTAGATGTCAAATTAGAAGGCAGATAATTACAAATTAAGTCTTTAAGATTTAAATCCCACCCCAAAAATGTAAGTCTTAATTTTGTTGCGAATGTCTTGCACAACCATGCATGTCACAACTTTGTTTGGCAGATGGTGTGATTGGGAATATTAGAAAGCAATACATTGATACAAGAACACAAGCTAATCTGTCAAAGCTTAATGCTAACCGGAAACAAGATTTAGACATTGCTACTGAAAATCTTTCAGAAATCATAGAGAGATGGAGATATTCAGGTAGGCTTTCTTTTTCATATTTATAGCTACTTTTACTTTCCTTGTCAAGTCAATGCTATGAACACATGAAAAGCTTCCTCTTTTTGTTCTAAAACTTATCTTCTTAAATTTACAGAAATCTTGGAAAGACCGTCGACTAGTACTTCACAAGCTGTTTCACCTATTTGGTGTTCGCCACGCCTTGAGGTACATTTTACTCAAAACTCAGACATAATGGAAATTAAGATAATTTCTTTTATTCAAGTTATATATTTCTATATACATAGGTGATCGCAATGAAATGGACGCCTATCACGGTCACTATTTTTGTTGTCACTGTTCTTCTTTGGGCCACCATAGTCCATACAGACGACAATTTCATGATTTTAAACTAAGTGGGGAATTAGGGTTAAGAAACCCCCGATTGTTCGCGTTGATGAGTTACGTACACAGATTTGTTTGTTTGATCATCTCGTTCATGAAGGTTATGGTTTAAGAATGCTCTGGTTGCCAAACTGTATAATTTGCACATACTACACCAGCTTGGACAGAAGAAGAAAGATAAATGAAATTACACTCTAAGGTCTTGAAACTCAAGTTGTCTTGGTCAATGAGTATTTTTTTAGACCCATAAGAATGAGATCAATTCAAAGTCTGTACTTGTTTTTCAAGTAATTCCATATGTTGAAGCAAATATGAAAGAATAACCGCTAATATTGTTACTAAGAAGCATTAGCATAGTTAGAGGTTATTCTTTCACTGTTGCCTTGGAACTTAATTTTTTTCCCTTATTTATAAAAATACATTACATCGTTGTGCAAGTCGAAATCACTACACATATCACCGCCTGATATAAAATCAACAAACCCAGGTCCTGAAATCTGATCCTCAAACTTAAATTGTGATGAATTGATCATCTCAGTAGCCGCTCCATGAAAACCATTCTCAAATGTTCCTTCATTGTTCAATAAAAAATCATGTCCTAGAGCATGATCTGCTTGAAGATTATTAGAACTGTGATCAAAGCCTTCCCTGGAAACCCCAGCGTCACCAATATTATTTGCATAGCTTCCACCATGAACATGGTCTAAGGAAAGCCACTCAGCAAACAAAATCTTTGGTAAAGGGCTTCTGTGAGTTTGATCACCAGTCTGGGGAATTAATGTTGGTGATTTTTCCACTGACTCATAACTTGGATTAATACTGGTTGTGGGCTTGTGGGGAGATGGTGAACACTCTAAGTTGTCTGAGCTTGAAGTAGTACTTGTATATTGAGATTTGCTTTGGCCTTCCACGATTTCTTCAGCTTTGGCCACTTTCTTCTTCAAATAAGAATGCCAGTAATTTTTTATCTCATTGTCTGTTCTTCCTGGCAAATGCTGTGCAATTTGAGACCACCTGGTTTTAATAATTACTTCTATATTAATATCATTATACATCAACATCCATCATTGACCCAGAAATTACCCTAAACGAAGAAAAGTAATAAACAAGTAAACAAGAAAAACACTTCTATATTAATATCATTATACATCAACATCCATCATTGACCCAGAAATTACCCTAAACGAAGAAAAGTAATAAACAAGTATACAAGAAAAACAAAGATGGTTATCTTGCTTGATTGCTTACTTGTTCCCTAACATATGATGAAGGGTCAGGATTGTCTCCTCCTCTTGTTTGCTAAATGTCCCTCGCTTTAACCCCGGCCTCAAGTAATTTATCCACCTTAATCTGCAGCTCTTTCCATTCCTTTGCAAACCTGCATGTATATTATAATCTTATGAATAACAATTACATATGACATTAAAGTCAAATTGAGGGGGATGTTTAAGCCAATTATATAGAAAAGTCACCATCAATCTCCTTTGCTTAGATACCTCAGAGTTTACCACAAGCTCTATTGCTGTTGGCTCACAGAGCCATCTTTACCAACTCCAAAAGATTAAATGACAAAATGGGGTCATTTTCATCTTGAAATTTTAACACTCGTTAATCTTGCCACAGAATTTGCATTAACAATAGATTGGTGATTGGCCATTTTATATAATTATAAAAAAGGAACCAAAAGCTAGAAATTCTTGATCATCAAAACCATCTTAGATTCCTCTGTCATTCTTTTTTCCAGCAATGTTAAATATAGGCCAATGTGCCAATACTATAATAAACCAGCTATGATGCATTCCTTAATTAGAACCAGGCAGAGTTTATTTAGGGTTGTAGCAAAAAGAACAGAAGAAAAATGGTAAACTCACCGGCGTTTATCGGAACAGAGCTCCAGCAGCCATGGCCATGCTTGAGGATGTAGTTTCGAAGCCTTTGGTCTTCTTCAGGTGACCACAATCCCTTTCTGTGCTTTGGCTTTGCCTTATCTGATGACTTGCAGCCCATTTTTCCACCAACAAAACTTGCAAGTTGCAACCTGTTGTATATATATGCTGTGAATTATGAGAAAAACACACAGAGAGAGAGAGAGAGAGAGAGAGGGGAAACTAGGCTGTAGAGCAATGAACAGCTGACCTCAATTGGGCTCTGGTACTTAAAGCAATGATTAGTTGAAGTCTGCTCTCTAAAAGAATTAACAAAGTACGAAACATATATATATTTTATGCTTCTTGTTGTATTTTCATATTCGACCATGAGGTAAGATAAAGCTGCAAGGTTTTAAGAAAGTCATGGTTGCCCAAGAATGCAAACCTGCCCATATGTAACTAATTTGACTTCTTAATAACCTAATTTAAAGGTATTAACTTGGGAGAAGCTGTGATCTACTGTGCACCCATGTGGGATTAATTTATACAAGTTAACCTATGTAATTTAAACCACCTCTGTTTTTAAGCTCCATTTATAAATTAATTAAGACCCTCTTCTCTTCTTTTAGAGTTGCAGAGATTGATTCAAGCTGGTTTTGGTTTTGATTGAATTTAGAACTTTGTCCATGGATGGATGGATGTGTAGGTTCATAATATCCATTTCTTGCAACAATTACATCATTATTTTATGAGACTTGTGTTGCTGTAAAAGAAAACGACCAACATGCCTCTGATGTCATATAATACTCTGAACCACGCAAATCAAGCTGTAAAGAATATGCACTCATCCAAAATGTCACTTGGGGATGAGAGTTGACTCTAGTTAAAAAGCAGCTTCTACCCAAAAGTGCTTGCCAAAACATTTCTCCCATTAATGAAGAAAATAAACGAAATAATTAGAGAGAAGACTTTGGTAGAAGAATCTAATTCCTTGATTTCACCAACAAAGTTTTCAAAAGGGTAAGGTTTGACAAAAGTATGAAGGTCTACTCCACCTTCATCCATGTGGGCAAAGGTTTAAGATCCCCAAGTACCCAAGGAATATTTGTGCAAACTCCCCTACCCCAATCGCTTGTAGTAAAAAAAAATTGGTGTAATTTTTAGAAAATTGCCTCTGCTTTTTATGATGATGCTCTTGGGGAACTAGGTGACATACATTAAATCAATATAATGCCATCATGGTTTATTATTTTAATCACTTCTCTACTCTCTCTCTAACCTACCGACAGTATTTTTCCATTGAAAAGGAAATTTGTTAAAAGGGGGTTTAGCTTGATTGGACTTTAAGTAATGGGAAATCGATTCCTTTGAAATATTGAAAAATCTTGTTGGATAGGCATGGTAATATAAAGAAATGCAAAAGGGACAAATGGACACCGGATACAAAGATCCAAAGGCAGTCAGTATTTCA